TATTGCTAGCGGGCCATCGAACATTCTTCTGAACAAGGTTTCGTCCTCGGACAAGCTGAATCGGGTTGCCTTTATGCGCAGGGCCCTCCATTCTTTTGGATTTGAGGGCAGTTTCCCGGTCTTCAAATACTCTACGTATTTATTTCTCCAATCCCAACTTAGGCTTCTGGACTTTATTTTGGTGTGACCTTCTTCTACTACCGATCTCATGAGCTGTACGACTGCCCCCGAGTTGAGCTCGTCATCTTCGACTGAGATCCTAAGCTTGCAAGGGCATCGGCCTCGCTATTTTGATCTCTAGGTACATGCTGCAAAGTCCACTCTTTGAACCGATGTAATGGTACCTGCAACTTATCTAGGTACCTTTGCATTCATTCTTCTCTGACTTCGAACGTTCCATTAACTTGGTTCACCACAAGGAGGGAGTCACACATAGCTTCGATCACCTCAACCCCCAAGCTTTTGGCCAGTTCGAGACCTGCAATCATGGCCTCATATTCGGCCTCGTTGTTAGTCAATTTCACAGTTCTAATGGATTGCCTAACTACATTGCATGTGGGTGGCTTCAATACGATGCCTAAGTCCGGACACCTTTTCGTTCGAGGCACCGTCCGTAAAGAGGGTCCAGATTCCAGAAGACGTCCCCGAATTTACCAAAAATTCTCTTTCGACCTCGGGTATTAGGGCCAGCGTAAAGTCGGCCACAAAATTTGCCAAAATTTGAGACATAATGGCTCTCCGGGGTCGATACTCAATATCGTACCCGCTAATTTCTACGGCCCATTTGGCCAATCATCTCGAGAGTTTGGGTTTATGCATTATATTTCGCAATGGGTAAGTTGTCACAACACATGTAGGATGGCACTGAAAATACAGTTTCAGTTTCCTAGAAGCGCTTAGCAAAGCGACCGCCAATTTTCTAGGTGAGGATATCTAGTTTCGGCTTCATCTAAGGTCTTGCTAACATAATAAATTGGAAATTCCGTACATTGTTCTTCCCTAACTAGGACTCTACTTACCGCTATTTCTGATACTGCCAAATACAATATAGTTGTTCGTTTGCCCTCGGCGTGTGAAGAAGTGGCGGGCTCAATAGATATCGCTTAAGTTATTCCGAGGACCGTTGGCACTCCGAGGTCCATGTGAAGTAGTTTTTCTTCTTTAGTAACAAGAAAAATCGGAGGCTCTTATCAAAGGACCTCGAGATGAATCGCCCCAGGGCGGCAGTGCGCCCGGTTAGCCTTTGCATGGCCTTCACGTTGTCCACTACCGTGATATCCTCGATAGCTTTGATCTTGTTGGGTTTGATCTCGATTACTCGATTGGATACCATGAACCCGAGAGATTTACCTGATCCAACTCCGAACGCACGTTTTTTTGGATTCAGCTTCATGTTGTACTTCTTCAATATACCGAAGGTTCCCTGCAAAATGCTTTAAATGGTCCTCTGCTCGCAGGGACTTAACTAACATATCGTCAATGTAAACTTCCATGTATTTCCCTATTTGTTCTTCGAACATCAGATTTACTAGGCGTTGGTAAGTGGCACCGGCATTTTTTAATCCAAATGGCATTACGTTATAGCAGTATGTGCCGTATTTATTGATGAGGGAGGTCTTTTCCTAATCATCCGAGTTCATTCGTATTTGGTTGTACCCAGAGTAGGCATCGAGAAAACTGAGGATCTCATGGTCGGCCGTGGCATCGATCATGTGATCGATGTTAGGCAAAGGGAAAGAGTCCTTGGGACATGCCTTATTTAAATATTTATAATCTACACACATTCTCAGTTTGTTCCCTTTTTTAGGGACTACTGCTACGTTTGCTAACCATTCCGGGTATTTGACTTCCCGAATGGACCTTATTTTAAGGAGTTTAGTTGCCTCGTCCTTGATGAAAGCATGTTTGATCTCGGACTGGGGTCTCCTTTACTGCTTGACCGAATGGAATTTCGGGTCTAGGCTCAGCTTGTGAGTGGTGATCTCCGGTGGGATCCCTGTCATGTCAAGATGGGACCAAGCAAAACAATATATGTTAGCTATGAGAAACTGAATGAGTTTTTTCTTGAGCTCGGGGGTTAACCCCGTGCCCAGGTATACCTTCTGATCGGTTAAATGCTCGATCAATGAGACTTGCTCCAGCTCTTAGACCGTTGATTTTGTAGCATCGGAATCATCGAGTACTATAAAAGATCTGGGAACCCCGTAATCATCATCTTCGTCGGTCCCCTGTTTATCTGATTGGGCCGTGGCTGGTGTCGATAATTTCTATTTAGTTTCCAGCTTTGTGTTCGAATTTGGTTCCTTTGATATTGTTAGTGTTGATACCGGAATCACTTCTCCGACTGCAAACATTTCCTTTGTGGCCGGTTGCTCCCCATAGATCGTTTTAATCCCTCCTAGCGTTGGGAATTTTAGCACCTGGTGAAGGGTCGAGGGTACTGCCCTCATGTTGTGAATCATGGTCTCCCGAACAGGGCTTGTACCTCATGTCCCCTTAGATCACATAAACTTGGTTTCCTGGACGGTCCCGGCTACATTTACTGGTAATGTTATTTCTCCCTTAATAGTTTCACAAACCATGTTGAATCCGTTTAGCACTGGGGCTGCAGGCATGATTTGGTCCTATAGGCCGAGTTGTTCTACGACCCTCAATTGAATGATGTTGGCCGAGATACCTGGATCAATCAACACACGTTTAGCTCGAGATTTATTCATGAGTACAGATATTACCAGTGCATCGTTATGGGGTTGTATGATTCCTTCTGCTTCCTTGTTGTTGAAAGACAAAGTTCCTTCTGGTATATAATCTCGAGTCTGTTTCTCCCTTGTGATGGATACTTTGGTACTTTTTAACATTGGACCTTGAGGAACATAGACTCATCTGATGATCATATGAATGACGTATTGAGGTTCTTCTTGCTCGGTTTGTTTATTGGAGTCCCTATTTCTGAAATGATTCTTGGCTCGGTCACTTAGAAATTCTCGAAGATGCCCATTGTTGAATAACCGGGCTACTTCTTCCCTCAATTGTCGGCAATCCTCTATTCTATGGCCGTGAGTGCCATGATGTTTGCACATCTAGTTCGAATCCCTTTGGGCTGGGTCGGATTGTAGAGGTCGAGGCCAATTGGTATCTTTGATGCGTCCCATAGCCGATATGATAGCAGCAGCATCAACGTTAAAGTTATATTCTGACAACCTTGGTGCTTCTTTAGGTCCGATAGTCCTGTCGAAACCATTCTTGCTCATGAGTCCCCGATTGCTCTGGCCTCCGTCATTTCTTCTTTCAATTCGTATAGAACTCCGTCCAGACCCATTGCTTCTTCGATCCTCATTGTACGGCTGATACCGATCCCTGTTCGACCTTGGTTCACGATCGATATCTCTCTTGACTCTATCGACGGGTCTAACAGGATAAACGAACCCAGAATGAGCCCCCAGTTGATCTTCTTCGACTCTGATCTTCTATTGATATCGGTTATGCACATCAGTCCAAGTGACAGCCGAATATTCTATCAAATTTTGCTTCAATTATTGTGAAGCCACCGAACTTCGAACATTGAGTCCTTGGGTAAAAGCTTGAACAGACCAATCATCAGCGACCGGTGGCAGGTCCATCCGTTCCATTTGAAATCGAGATACGAACTCTCTGAGCATTTCATTGTCTTTTTGTCTCACTCTGAAGAGGTCCGATTTCCTGGTTTCGACCTTGATAGCCCCAGTGTGTGCTTTCACAAAAAAGTCTGCAAGCATAGAAAATGAGATAGAATTAGGGGGTAAGTTGTGATACCATATCATGGCTCCCTTTGACAAGGTTTCTCCAAATTTCTTCATTAAGACAGACTCAATCTCATCATCCTCCAAGCCGTTTCCTTTGATGGCGCATATTTATGAAGTGACATGCTCGTTCGGGTCAGTCGTTCCGCTGTACTTAGGAATCTCGAGCATGCGAAATTATTTAGGGATCGGTTTCGGAGCCGCGCTCGGAGGGAAAGGCTTCTGCACAAACTTTTTGGAATCTAAGCCTTTCAATATTGGAGGCGCTCCCGGATCTGGTCGACCCTAGAATTGTAGGTTTCCACCTTTTTGTCGTTCGCTTCAAATTTTTTTCCCCTGATTCTATTCATTTTGTCAGCTCCTCGAGCATTTTTATGATTTCGGGGTTGTTACCCGACTCGTTCCCATTCGACCTTTCCGCGACCGGTTCCTCCCTGCGAGTGATCTCACGAGACGGGTCGAGCTCCATCCTGCTCGGTACACGGCTCTGGTTTCGTAACTGAGCTATTGTCGCATGTTGAGCCTGCAACATTTCAAAGATCATTCGTAGATTGACCACGTCTCCTTTATTGTTTTGAGTATTGTGTCGTTGACCGGGCTCACCACGGATGCTATTCTCGGGGTCAGTAGGGAGGCTTGTGTCGATAGCCACATGCGAATTAGCGTCCAACGGGTCTGCAATTAGAATTCCGATGGGATCAACTGGCGGTACCTCGTTACTGGGCGCTATGTTATTGTTTTCACCGTGGTGGCCAGACTCACCGTCAGTAGATAGAGGTGCTAATTGTGAGTTTGACAGTATAAGCTTAAGCCTGAAATCAAAGACACTTCAAAGAACAAGTGAAAAATAGTGTGTGTTATGGCAATTCGTATCAAACAACCACTATTATCCTTAGCCACGCGGTGGACGCCAAACTGTTTACCCTCAAAATCGGATAACAATTGAAAAATATACGCGGTTCTAAGGATACGTGATATAACTTGACACAAATTTGAGAAAACAAATTAATATTGAAATCAATGACAGAAAAGTAAATGCAAACCACACAAGTTGAACAGTGTTAGCCTTGAAGGTTGGTCACCCTCGAGTCAAAAAGTGCCTCAATCGATGTCAGAACAGAATAACAAGATAATAAGAACTAGAAATAACGGTGTATTGCTTTTGGATGCGTGTTACAATGTGTATTATAAATAATCAGACCCCCTTTATATAGTAGGGAAGTCTTACTTTAGATACAATTCTACAAAAGGTAAGAAATCTCATGATTTGCTAATTAGTCGGTCTCTGGTTGATACGTGCAGAGATTCTCGCTGTGATACCCGACCGGTTACGGATATTTCGGTCTTCCGTTATTCGGTCCGATAATGTTTCCTCGAGCTTGATCGGAGTCGAGGTCGGTTCATCGAGCTACGGGCTCGATATCTTGAAGACATATGCTCTAACTTCGTACCTTAGTTCGTTATAATCCGAGGTCGATCTTCAACCCATCATAATTCGGTCCCGATCTATCATGAGATGAACCCGATTTCGACCGTATACAGTGTTAAAAGGAAAATGAAAGAAAAACACAACAATGGCAATAATGCCATGTCAAAGTTTACCCCACTTTGAAGCCACCTTTTTAAAATTCCACGCAAACCACATACGCAAAAGTCACTCTACAGTCTACACACACTTTTCACCTACACTACACACTGTCTCTATCTCAGCCTCCTCTCCTCTCCTCTCCTCTCCCCTAAAGCAAAGCAAAGTCGTAAAACAATAGTGACAAAGCAATAGAGAGAGAGGAGAGAAGATCCTTTACCAATTACTCCTCCTCTCGCTACTTCTCCACCTCCTCCTGCAACTGCTTGGCGCAGAAAAAAATATGACTCAGACCGTGAATGGCACCCACCATAACTCACATCCAGTACCACTTCAAAGTCACCCTCATTACTACCCACCTCCTTCTTCTTCATCATCAAAAGCTTCTTTCAAAGGCTGCTGTTGTTGTCTCTTCCTACTTTTCTCCTTCTTACTTCTCCTCATTCTCGCAGTCATACTAGTTATCGTCCTCGCCTTGAAGCCCAAGAAACCCCAATTCGACCTTCAACAAGTGGGTGTTCAGTACGTGGGTATCACTCCCAACTCCGTCATTGCTGCTGCAGCGTCATCTGCCTCTGTTTCTCTCAATATCCACATGGTCTTCACCGCTGTCAATGATAATAAGGTGGGAATCAAGTACGACGAGTCCAGGTTTACTGTCATGTACCGCGGGATTCCACTTGGAAGGGGAATCGTTCCCGGGTTTTACCAGCCCGCTCACAGTGTTCGGCGGGTCGAAACTACGATCGTCGTGGATCGGGTCAACTTGCTCCAGGCCGATGCAGCTGATTTGATCCGTGATGCGGCGTTGAATGACCGGGTCGAGCTTCGGATTTTGGGTGATGTCGGAGCTAAGATTCGGGTCCTTGGACTTACTTCACCCGGTGTACAGGTTAGCTCTTTGCTTCACCGCTTTAATTTCTCTCTCTAAGATTGCCCTGTTTTTTGGTCTTTCTGCATATTCTCTGTCTAGACTTTTAGGACATTTGTGCTCGAGAAACGCCGCATTTGCAGTGTAGAATATCAGCTTCGTCTCTCTCTCTCTCTCTCACGCACACACACGCGAGAGAGACAAAGCATTGGGGGTCGGTGTTGACGTGTACGTTTGCTGCCTTTCTTTCTCGGCGCCTCATGGGCTTTGCTAACTTGTGCCAATAATGTACACTAGCTTAGCTTTAAAATGCGGTCCTAAGAATTTAGGGACCTAACAAGTTAAGTCGTATGCGGCAACAACAACAACAACAAATCCAGTATATTTTCACAAGTAAGGTCTGAATAGGGTAGTGCTTACGCAGACCTTATCCCTACCTTCACTAGAGAGCTTGTTTCCAAATTGAAGTCATATGCACGATAGAATAATAATAATGTTAGTGTAGTTTAAAGCTTTGTCTATGTGAGCTTGGTTACATTGCCGTGTCTATGTGAGCTTGGTTAAAAGAGCAAGTTTGTTGTAAATATCATTACCGTAAAATTAGTTAATTTATGATTAATTCTTATCATTTTCTTATTTTTTTTAGATTGCCTACTCACATTATTAGAAGATAAAAATTAAGATTAGAAACTCATCATAAAAATTATATAAACAATTACCTTTTAGGTAATATATTTAACTTTTTATACACCAATACTTAACAAGAATTAGGCTATTGTGCTACTTAAAGAATATTTACAAATTACAAGTAGCTGCATTTTATTAATGTGGATTGATAAATTATAAAAGATGGTATATAATTGCTATTATTGCATACACTATAGGAGGGAGCCTTGGAGCAACGGTCAAGTTGTCTTCGTGTGACCTATAAGTCACGATTCGAGCCGTGGATTCAAGTGTTTCCCCGGACCCTGCGTGAACGCGTGATGCTTTGTGCACCAAGCTGCCCTTTTTTTTAATACACTATAAATGCAAATTTAGGCACCCAGTGGCCAAAAACCAATATAGTGAACCAATAGCCCTTAAAGTAGTAGGAAATGAATTCTACATTTGCCAAAGCCAACAGTGGTATATTGTTGGCCCGTCCTTAAAGTAGTAGGAAAAGGGTGTTATTTACCAAAAGCCAATCTGGTTTCTTCTGGATTTGGTTAGGTCCAAAAGTAGGGGAAGCAAAAGTGGGAAAAAGGACTCAAAAAAGAAGGGGAAACTGAGAATATAATAATTAAAGAGTGTGGATTTGGATGAATGATTCCATGAGTGTAGGAATGTTTTTCTCCTTTAGCTTTTTAAGTTTCAACAAGAACCAATAATTTGAAGGAATGGGAGCCACCCACCTTGCCTGTCATGTTGTCTAGCTATACAGTACTCTGCCATTTCTGAAATTTTTTGAGCTGGTTTGCCGTAGTTTCACATGACCCAACTAACTATTTACTCTGCTCTGAGATAATAGGCCACTTTCTGAAGGGCACTAAAAATTTCTCCTAGTAGTGTGTATGTGGTGTGCACTGCTTACAACTCCTGCTATTGGATCTTTATTCAAAGGGACTTTCTTGTTGAATAGTGCTCCAAAACTTAGTGGCTTTTGATATAGTGGTAGGAGCATGGCGCGTCATGATGTGTGGGTTAGGTACACCTCACTAGTACGCATCCTACCGCGCGCAAAGAAAAAATTTGATAATTAAGTGGAGAAATGCAGAGGGTTGGGCCATTTTGAACCGTGCGCCACTAATCCACGGAGAGAAAAAGTTTAGTCTGTAATTCTTACTTTTGACACTAGTTTTTAGTAATTGCTTAGCCAGTTTACATGATAACTTACCTCTTGGACCATGGTGAAGCATAATTGCTGGTAATAGTGTTCCGATCCTTAATTATATCATTTTCCCATGCACTTTTTTAAGGAGGTTAAGTGAAAATCAATTTGTTGCTTATTGAGCTATAATTGTATCCTTTAATCAGCTTGCAATATCAATTCAAGAAACAAACAACTTAAGAGTATATTTTATCATTAAAAAGCTTTGTCTTCATTTATAACCAAATTATTACTAGCTATCCATTTCCAACATTTCTCTGTTCTCTTTGCTGACTTTTTGAGAGGCTGACACTTTCCCTTCCACTTTCTTGAACTGTTTGTCTTCCTTAAACAAGATTCATGTTAAATTCAGCTTCAGCACAGCTTAATTATTGAGATATCATTGAATGCAAGTGATGGTGCTTTCCCTATTTACTGCATGCTTCAAACAAGTAGAAACATTTGAAATAGGATATGATCATGGCTTCGCTTTGTATTGCTTCATCGCATTTTTAATGGCATTGACAAATCGAGAACTTCTTTTGTCGAATTAATGGTTATATCTTGTGACACTTGAGTAGTGTAGATTTTAGTCTTCCCCAAAAACTCCCATCCGACCTATTTTCAGCTTTTCACGATCACTAGTTACCTTCACTTTCAAAAAATATTTGAAAAGAAAATGAATCTTATGTTGGTATTAGTATATTAATCCTTTAATTGAACAAATAGATGAGTGAATCAGAAACATAACGTAAGTGAGAATGGTTGTTGGAGCAGGTATCCGTGGATTGCGCAATAGTGATCAGCCCAAGGAAACAGGCTCTCACCTACAAGCAGTGTGGATTCGATGGCCTTAGCGTATGACAAATACTACTAATAATTAACTGGTCTGCCTTTGGAACTTTTCCAAAGCTACATTTTCTCTTTAATTCCACAAAGGGGAAAAAGGGAGATGTACAATTAGTAGTAGTCTGTAACAAGTGCACATGCATAACATTGGGAAAAAGGTTTAAAAAGAAAAGGCGCACATGCATCTGCTTCTACTTCATAGAAAAGCAAATTGAAGCTAATAGCATGAAAAATGACAAGTTGAACCAGTAACTGTAGCTAAAGGGTATCTTGTTATTAAAATAGATTTTTTTTTTTTTCTTTCTTTTTAAAGATTTGGACTAATAGGTATTCCACGACTCATTTATTGTATTCATTAATTATAGTGTACCTTCTAAACTCTAGAGGTCCAATGCTAGAATCTGCCAAGTTTGGGAAATTAATAAACCTTAATCTTATGCGCAGTTACACCACCCTCCCCCTTTTTCCTTCTCGTCACTCTTCCTTTCCCTTTCCCAACCATAACTATTGCATGATATGAAATCCAAAATAATGCTGCCAAAGAATAATTTCTATCTTTAAGGATATCTCTGAACTATAATATAATTGAACAAGTCTCTCTGCCCTTCCAGGGTAGAGGTAAGGTTGCATACATCCTACCCTCTTCATACCTTACTTGTGGGATTACACTGAGTTGTTGTTGAACAAGTCTCGTGGTAAACAACGAAAGAGTTTTTAAGAAAAACGAGTCATTAATATTCATTTCAAACAAATAGTGAAAACCCAAAAGAGATTTGAGCAAGTTGTCACTAGAAAAATAGCAAACAGTTCAACATCCAATTTTTCTTTGAAGAAACTAAAGGTATCCTTGCTTATTTTATATTTTTTTCAAACTACATTCTTTCTACCGCACAAAGACTAGTTCACATTTGGCTCTGTAGAGTTAATTACAAATTCTAACCAAGTCCAAAAACGTTTTCTTTCCACAAACACAAACGTACATGAAAGTAGGCCATGTTTAAGTGATGTGCATGCAAAAACAACGAATACAAAATATCTATCTTTCATAAACATATTTTATCATAGTTAAGTGATATGCATTCTCATTTTACTTTGGTGTAAACACCAACCCGTGCAAATAAGATTTAACCGTGTTTCAACCCAACTAAACGAAAGGCATTTTGGCAAGAGAGAGCCTAAATAGACCAACGTCGCCCCATTAGCTATTTCAATCATCCTCTCATCCCAACACAAATCCAGCACTTGGTACTCTATTATACAACCAAACTGTATCAACCTTTCTACTACTAGAGAGCTAATTGAACCTTCGTTTGGTTCGTGGACAAGATTATCCTAGGATTAATAATCCCGGAACTATTTAGTGCTATATAATTCGTTTGGTACATTGGATAAAAAATAGGATATGCAATATATAATCCAAAATATGTGTTTGTTTTAAAGCTAGATAAATTTTTGTTTCCAGTTTTAACCTTGGATGTTTTGGTGGCTTAGAAAATTGGTCACTACACACATCTAAACTATGGTGGAGGTAGTTATAAAACATTTCTTTTCTTCTTTTTGTTCTTGGCCATTACTGTTTGGTACGGAGATGTGTCAAATGGTTTACGAATTCAGGTAATTCAGCAAGCTTGATACTAATATTCATCTGTAAATCAGGATGACGGTTGCTCCTTCATCCATAGTTAAATATAAGGGGCAAATTCAGTGATCAGACAAATTTTCAAAACAAAGAGAGTATAAAGAGAACTATTTCAAGGTTTCATGTTATGCAAACTAACACACTAAAATCCAATAGGTAGTAGCATTCGGATAAACAGCACTGTCTTCAGGTGACCTCATAAAATAAAGATAACAACACCAATAGTAACTTGTCAAAACTTCTGTTCTACAAAATCGCATGCGTTTTAAGCTCAGCAACAGTTGAAGTTCAACTAAAATCCTAAAGGCACTTGAAAGCATTTAGATAATCACCATTCATTTCACAAAGACCTTATAAAAATAAAGAAGAAGAAAAACAATAACTTGTCCAAAGCTTCTCTTCTACCAAGATAGCATGGGCTTAGCTCAGCAAAGAGTTGCAGTTCTATAATGTCACTCAAGCCTTCAGCCGACCATAGAACTTCTGCTTCTCCTGGGTGGTCTGGAAGCGACCATGTCCAAACTTTGAGGATGTATCAATGAACTTGAGCTTAATCTCCTCAAGAGCAACACGAGAAGTCTGGTTGAGAAGTGATTGGCGAAGGGTAACAACCCTCTTCTTAGGACCTACACAGCATCCCTTGATCAACAGGTAATCTTCCTTCACCACACCATAATGGGGAAATCCACCCATAGGTGTGATGTCTTTCTCAGTCCTGCCATTGTCAAGGCAAGTGTAAGCAACAAAAGTGGAAACTAAAAGGTGACTAGCACAATCAAGGCACAACAAAGCTTCCACAGTGCCACTAGTACAAAATATGAGATATCTTCAGCAAGGGGAGTATAAAACATTGTTGAGTAAGAACTTTAAATCAAGCAATCTCAAATTGCAGTTACCACTACCAAACCTAACAAGCACACAAGCACTAATTGCAGACAAATGGAAAGTAGAATATCAGCTTTGCGGGAAAGGAATTTAGCAAGGAGAAATTATAAAAGAACCTGTCAAAGTCAGTAATAGCTGCATGTGACTCTTGCCCAGCTTTGCCAAGCTTGTAAACCTTCTTGTTCATCTCAGTACGGTGATGGTATCCGTTTTGACCGGCACGGGCAACTGTGTAGGAAACTCTAGCAGGGTGCCAAGCACCAATACAAGCAACTTTACGAAGACCCCTGTGGGTTTTGCGAGGAAGACGTGTCACACCCCAACGTGTTACGACACCTTCATAACCCTTACCCTTGGTAACACCAATGATGTCAATCATCTCATCCTTCTGGAAAATAGCATCAACTGGCACCTGCTTCTCAAAGAAACCATATGCATAGTCAACCTTTTGGGCAATAGTCCCACCATTCACCTGGATTTCCATCAAATGTGCTTTCTTCTGTTTCAGACCCTTCATCTTCCTTATCTGAAGTAAAATGCGGTAACCATTACAATGAGTATGCAAATAACTAATTTGTTCAAATACCAGGACATCTAACACCTGGAAAGAGTAATTAAATCAAAACATGAAACTAAGCCAGGACAAGAATGCCTAGCACGCACGACTACCTACAGAAACAAATTCACTACATAAATAACCAGTCAGCATTTGAGAATTAGAAAGAACCAAATAGAACTTTTTTAAGGGTGGTGTTTGGGCAAGCTTGCACGCACTTAACACTATTCCATCAGTACCTACTACCTCCCACCAACACAAGTACCAGGACTAATCCTTTTTCTATAACTTACATAAATAGCTAGTATTCGTGAATTATAAAGAACCAAGCAAATCTGTGTTGCTTAGCAAAATATTATAACATGCAGGTCCACAAAAATTATCCTAAATGAGCTTATTTAACTTTAAGAGGTGCAAATATCAATGAGAAACTAATTCTCACAGCACCTCTTTTTACAAGTATCTCAAACACGACGGTTTGCCTCGTCTAAAATTCCGAGAAAGCAGGGGCAAAATATAGAACACATTTTATATATGCAACAAAAACAGATATGGGTCATGGTCCCCAAAAAAAATTATCAGTGAGAGACGACATTATTATAGTACCTGAGTGTGAGCCAACACACGGATGACTGAAGAATACTTCTTCAGTTTCTCCAACTGTGCCTGGATATCTTTTTTACCTTCATCAGTCTCGTATTTCTTTGAGTACTTCAAAAAGGCCTTCTTCTTGGACTTGCACCAATTCTTGTAGAACCTCCTCTTTAACTCTTCACTGAGATGCTGAGCCCAAACAGTGTTGAGGCATCGCAGGCCACGAGGTGTAGTAACATATCCAACAACACCAACTATCACCATTGGGGGTGTTTCAATTATAGTGACCGCTTCACATGTTTCTTTCTTGTGGAGTTCTACAATCACCAGATAAGATGTAATGTTTAACATCAACATGCCAGTTTTCCCCTTTGGGTAAAGGGGCGTAGGACAATGCAAGAAACCCAATCAGTATCAAAGTCTAATTACTAACACAGCTACCAAATAATGTGAATACAGAGCTGAAATACTATATACGAAAAGGGGATTTTACTTGATCCGGGTTTTTCTACATCTCTCACAATGTGGGTCATTCCAGCCTTGTAACCCAAGAAGGCAGTCAGCTTGCAGGGTTTGCTTTGATCATCCTTAGGGAATGCCTTCACTGAAAAAACAAAAAAAGACAAATGAAAACAGATGAAAATGACAAACGATGACACCTTTTTTTCACTGAGCTTTCCTGGGATTTGTTAAAAACCTCTTTAAACACTTTTCTCTGTTAAAAAGCTCTTTAAACCATCACTCATAACCACAACCTTCTCAATTTAATGTAAACTAGAAAATTGGATTAAAATTCTACTATCAATTATCTAGTAGTATTGAAAAGAATATAGCATACCCTTTCCCCTGTGACGAGCAGCTCTCTTTCTGGGCAGAAATCCCAAAGACCCGTGTCTTGGGTGCTCAAACTTCCTATGAGACATTTCTCTCGTCCTTCAATCTGTAAACACAACACAAAATGTAAACAATACAATTACAACGCCTCAATCCCAAAGAAAATCAAGGTCAGCTATATGTATACAATTCTGCTCTATTACCCCAGTATTAATTTGCTTATAAATAATTTTCATTTCACTGCTAATTAGGAGCTCGCTAAAAGCCTAAACATATGTAAGCAATAAAGCAGTCCAGATTGCTTAAATGACGCATAAATCTAGCCAAAAATTTATGATAACACATCCAAATAGAACTTAAAAAATGTGAAACCGTATACAGGTTCATAGCTATATTACTTATTTACTAAGCTTTTGGCATTTGATAACGCCATAATAGCTCGTTTTAAAGAGTAACATGAATGTGTCCACCAATTCTCCAAATGTATATTGAGATTTACGTAAAAAATAGCTAGCTAGAAACAGAAATTAGAATGCATACATAAGTTTGAGGGAAAGAGGAGGGTACCTGCAAGGAACGGCTTTGGGAGGCTGCAGCGAAGAAGAAAAACCCTACTCAAACTGAGATTTATATATTATCGTTTTGTTGCAGTAGGGGAATGGGCTGGATATTAGGCTTTTGGCCCAACTTTCTTTTGATCGTTTTGTCAAGCCCAGCTATCAGAGCTGCAAATTAGATTAAGGGATTTCTTTCCTATAAATATAAAAATCCGAGGGAACTTTCTACTACCTTTAAAGGAGCTTTTAACAATTCATAGTTATATTTTACGTATTTACATTCCGTAGCTAGTTTTTTACAATTCGTTGTATTTGAGTATATTTGGATACACTGTTAAGCTGTATTTTTAAAAAAAAAAAATTATTTTTTTCGCGTGTATTT